AAAATGAAATCTTCATCTCCATAAAGCTTTTCAGCAGATGGAAGCATGAAGTGCTCCAAAATCTCCTGATAGCTAGCTGCATTGACCCTGCCCTTGATAAAACACAGTGGACCAACACCAGCAGCTGACATGGCACCCCAGACCATCAGTGACTGTGGGTGCTTCACACTGGACTTATGGCATTTTGGCATTTCTTTCTCCCCAGTCTTCCTCCAGACTCTGGCACCTTGATTTCCGAATGACATGCAAAATTTGCTTTCATCCGAAAGAAGTACTTTGGACCACTGAGCAACAGTCCAGTGCTGCTTCTCTGTAGACCAGGTCAGGCGCTTCTGTTGCTGTTTCTGGGTCCGGTCACCTCTTCTCGTTGTGCAGCGTTTTCTGCCACACTTTTCCCTTCCCACAGACTTCCCACTGAGGTGCCTTGATACAGCACTCTGGGAACAGCCTATTCGTTCAGCAATTTCTTTCTGTGTCTTACCCTCTTGCTTGAGGGTGTCAATGATGGCCTTCTGGACAGCAGTCAGGTCGGCAGTTTTACCCATGATTGCGGTTTTGAGTAATGAACAAGGCCGGGAGTTTTTAAAAGCCTCAGGAATCTTTTGCAGGTGTTTAGAGTTATGTCGATGATTCAGATGGTTAGGTTAATAGCTTGTTTAGAGAACCTTTTCATGATATGCTAATTTTTTGGGACAGGCATTTTGGGTTTTCATGAGCTGTATGCCATAATCATCAGTATTAAAACAATTAAAGACCTGAAATATTTCAGTTGGTGTGCAATGAATCTGAAATATATGAAAGTTTCATTTTTATCATTACATTATGGAAAAGAATGACCTTTATCACAATATGCTATTTTTTTGAGAAGGACCTGTATATATATACACATATATATATATTATTTTCTTTCGGCTGCTCCCTTATTCGGGGCGCCACAGCGAACTAACTCCCACAAAGACTTGGCTATTGTTTTTACGCCAGACGCCCTTCTTGAAAAGACTTACTAAAAACTTCAGACACATTATTACTTATAAATCCGTGTTTGACCCCTTTTTTTATTTTTAAGATGTCCAGCAAAAAATAAATTATGGCCTGAAAAGTCATAGCAAGTGTTCTAAGAATAACATAATATATGTAAAAAAAATTATCCCATCTTGGTTGGTTTGCTGAAAGATCACAAACAGATTATTTTACGTTTTAAAGCTCATCATTAGAAAGTTTCATGGCGTTCGGATGATTCTATAGTTTCTGCATATTCTTGCTCTCAGAATGCACTTTTTTTAATTTGTAAAAAGTGTTGATACCTGATTAAAAAAACAAAATCCAGCTACATTATGAGGGCACTTTGTTGTGAAACACATTTTACCTATCAGCTGATAGACCTTTTTAACTTCAAGAATAGGCTCTTAACATTTTCTTCTCATAGAGTCTTTAGTCAAGACTAGCTTAGGTGATCTTGAGCTATCCTGACAGTTATGCTGCTATAATCTGAAGGGGAATGACCAATGAGATATTGATCACTTCATCTTATTACTTTTTTTTTTTTTTACTATTTTTACTCTGCATTTGGGCATAAGCTGGTACTGCTATATATGCCCTTTTTTTCCCACATCAGGCATTTCTGACCTTTTTTTCTGACTTCTAAACCCCCAGCTGGTTAAAACAGATGGCTGCCCTTTCTGAGTGTGGTTCAGCTTGATGTCTCTTTGTGTGAAAAGGGAGTTATCTTTATCTTTAAAGCCCACTACACTATTCCCACTCCAAACAGGAGTTTGAAACAAAATATACATTAAGTTTAGTTTATTAATCTTCCAAGATGGATAACTTTTTGATTAAACTAATCTGATATTTTTCAGTATTTGATATATTGACTGTATTGAATTAAATCCAATCCTAATTCATAGTTAAATGACTACCATCAACTAAAGAAAATTGCACTTTACTGATTTTGTGGATTTTATTAGAGTCAGGCCTGTTTATTACCCTACCATCACCTTTGTGGCAAATTTATAGGAATAGAGCACAGCGATAACTGAATTAATCATGTAGGGATGAATTGGAGTGAACCTGTTAATAGTTTGCACTTTTCGACAACTTACACAGTTCAGCCATCATGAACGAGTCTCTGCAATGCTGACTGGAATTATTGATTACTGAATGGCACAAATTAATTCAATTCAACCTTTATTTATACAGGTTAGCCCAGATTTCTAAACATTGGCATTGGCACCAGCCTCAGAAAATCTCACTCCAGTCACTCAGGTTCTTCCACTGTTGCTTAGAATTCACACCAGTGTTCAATTTTTTTTTTTTCTTCTTTCTTTGACTAAATGTGCTGACAGGTATTTGAGTGCACAACATATAAACATTTGTCACATTGGTCTTCATTTTCTTAAAAAATGATTGTACTTTCTGCCGAACATGTCGCACCACCTTATAAGTCATATCAGTCCAAATGTCTAAAAAAGTGGAATAATACATAAATAAGTCGCATCACCATATTAGTTGCATCAATTATGCATTACCACTGACGCGTCGCGTTTTTTATGCGTCACCGCTGACCACCTGGAAACGTGGGCCTGTGTTGTGCCAAACATCGATTGTCTGCCAAATGGCAGCCGCGGGAGCATGAACAGGAGGACTTTAACAAGAATTTAACAAGATTAACACTTAAAAACAATTATTTGTTTGCTTGAAATTATAGCAAAGGTGTCTCTCAGTTGAAATTGTCCTTAATAAATGCACGTTAATGGTCAAATCAGTTGCATTTAGCTTGGGTGGTGTGGCAAAATGCAGCTGATTTGATGTTTGTTCCAGGAGTTCCGGAGCGAGACGAAGGTGGCTTTGTATGGGAAGTCAAGTGTCTCATTAATAGCCACTTTTCTCTATTAATGAGACACTTGGTTTGCCTTTTTTTTTCTCTCTCTCTCTCTGTGCTCCAGTGGACAGACGTGCCCTCTTCTGCTTCGTCCCCCCACTTCCCTGATTTGCTCTCTTTCGTGTTGTGAACCCCTCAAAGAGTTTATTTTTTTTTCCTGCATACCTTCCTAATTCGAAGGATTTGATCAGCTGGTGTCTCAACAAAATTGATCAACTTCTCCTGACAGGAAGTCAGGGTAAAGAGGACCCTCTTACCTACGGAAACAAATTGGATCCATGATGCCAACTAGATTTTGCTGTTTGGGTTGGTGAAATCTGGATTGTCTACAAATTTGTGTGGATGTGTCGAAGCTTGGCAGCACTAAGACTGAATTATGTGGAGCTGCGTCAGAGCTGGAGCAGGCTGTTATCGGGACTGTGATCTTTCTGGCAGCACCCATGAATGGTTGGGAATAATCTTGGAGAAGATGTGAGCTCGACTTTCGGCGTAAGAAATCAATTTGGCTGTTTGGAGTCACCATCAGAGAAATATACCAACGTGACTTTAATAGGCGGAAATGGCAATTTACGAGTTCTGTCTGACCCAAACTGTGACCTTGATGGCGGACTTATCTCAACTCCTCCTGGCATGTTTAGGAAAAACAAAGATACTTTATCTGTTTCCTCACCCCTCCCTTCCTCAAGGCCATGGACATGTGACAGAACCTCAACCGAGCTGATGATAACTAACACTTCTTATCTGGACAATGGCTGAGGCGGGGCTCTGGACTATACCACGACCTTCCCTTAAAATTCAATGTCTTCACTGGCCTATATGTATCATACATGTTTCATGTATATGTATCATGTCTATTTATGTTGCTTTGCTGTGGTAGGATTTTTGATGCCACAAACCATGCCCTGTCTAGGACATGGTGTGAGATCTTTTTATACCTTCTCTCTTCATGTTTTCTTCCCTTTTCTCATCTAAGCAAAAATATTATTCTGAATAAGAAGGCTGCACTAATTAGCAGCAGCTTTGTGCACTACGTCCATCTTTCAGACGACTGTACATACATATTCTCGTTGTATCTTGGTACAATGACAATAAAGCTTATTCTGATTCTGATAATACTAGAGCGCCCTCTAGCAGATGAAAATGGTAGTGTTCAATATTTTCCAGGTCAGAATAAATGAAATTGTCAGTTCTCAGCCAAAAATTGGTTTATAAATATGGGGAAAAAAACGTAAATAAATTGTGTTCGCTGTACAAGTCGCAGGGCATGCTAATTCATGCAAAATGGTGCGACTTATACAGCAAAAAGTACGGTAGTGCAGCATCAGGTTGTTGTTTTTGAGTTCCTTTTAGCTGCTCGGTTTTGCAGGTGTCAGCACAGAAAACAAACTTGCATGAAAAATAAACAATTATTTTACACTAGCCATTTATGCCTTCTCTGACACAACTTGGGTTCAACCTACAGTCTCAGAATTACAAGACCACATTACTGCCCACCAAACTACTGCAGCCCTGGTGCTGGATCAGGTGGGTACTGGCTCCAAACTAGGACTGAGTAGGTTTGGTGGAAAACAACTAGAAAGATGTCACAGCCCTATCTCAGTTGTTGTGTTTACTATTAGCACAAACCTGATAAATTCCAGCCATTTGTATTTTTTCAGCACATTTCTTTTTTTCCCCCCGTATTATAGAATAACTACAGCAATTATTGTGCTTAATGTACATCAATGTTTCCATGAACCACATGTAGGACACAGCCTCTTGGATCCATAAAATGCTGCACAACACAGCTCAGAAAAAACGGAAGTCCAAGTGGGGTTCTGCCACATAAAAAAAACTTAAAATAACTGCATTCAAAAGTGCACTGAAGCAGAAATATGGACAAAAATATAAACTGTCTTCCTGGTTACATTGCTAGTGATGATATGTCAGCACACACAGCGCTGACAAAAATACTGACAATCAAGCCCCAATTGTGTGCACCCACCTTTAAATTTACACAGAAAGAAATGCTCGTTCATACACACCAAAAGTCTTGCATATTTCACAGAAGGGGACATGTTCATTGATCTAGAAATGATCCTAAGCTAAAACAAGTACAAAGTACTGAAAAGCACAGCTATGCCCTGACAGGTGTGTGCATGCATGATGTTAGGAACCATGTCCATACCTTTCTTTACCTGCATGCTTGTGTATTTGTGTGCCTTCTTTTTCAATGGATGCATGTGCATCTATAACACAATCTGAAACACTTTGTTTGTGTCTGGGTCTGCATCATTTTATACAAGTCCCTCCAGGTAAATGTTGTGTGTGTGTTTGAATGTAGTGCTCTGTATGTGTGTGCGCTCTTGGGCAGTACCAGTTCAGGTCACTGATTCTTGTTATTTGATGTTAAAGTTTAGGCAGCGATGGTGCGCATTTGTGTGCATTTCTGGTTTGAAGGGACAGAGTATTTAATCTTTTGTTGTTTTACATCAGCAAGTTTCTCTGAAGCATACGTTTGTAACATTCCAGCACTCCAATCCTTCGTGCTGACAGTTGTTTTCTTTTCTTACTTTTGTATTCCAGGTGAAAACCTGCTGCCACAACACTGATGTCACTCTGAAAGTGCAGAAGGAGCTGGTTGGATGTTGAGTTGAGGAGAGCAGGCGCTGTTGTTCCTGAAAAATATACAAACAAAATGTTGTAGACCTTGTTAAGCAGTTTCTGACGTCCATTTTCAAACTAGTAAAGCAAATGTTCTATTAACATATTTTGACATGTACACTTTGCAATGCCAAAGAATACATTATATACAAAGAAATTACAATACAAAAGCACCACAGTTCCTATAAAAAATACACAAATCCATTGTTTATCGTGGTGGATCAATACCCTGAAGACCCGCGATAAGTGAAAAACTGTGAAGTAGGAATAGTAGTACAAGTAGTAAGTCGTAGTTTATCTTAGTATATACTGCA